GAGTGATTTAGCAAATATGTGTTGATATTGTTGTTGGGTCTTGCTTGCTGATAAGTTAGATGTATTTTAATGGTGATTTGACCTAGTAGTTGTGGTTTAATTTAATGGGCTTTTAGTTGAAATTACAAAACCACCCATGTGTTTTCAGCTTGCCCGAAAGGAAGGTCGCGAAACCAAGACCGCTAGACTGATGGCCTAAAGAGTGGGTCGACTTGAGGTTCAGCTCGAGAGGGTAAGCCCTAGTCCCATATCCTAACACTCAGCTCGAGAGAGTGAGTGGGGCAAGGCGTAGGCTGGCCTTCATGCGGCAAATGGGTGTCCGAGAGGAACGCATTTGAAACGGGGTATGTTGCCCGAGAAGGAACTTATTTCCATCTGAAGCTTAGCCTAGTCACTATTATTTTGCAAACTTCCTATCGAAAGTATGTACCCAATGGTTTATCTCAACTTGTATTGCAGTCACACCCCAAGTACTTTTCTCCATACTTGATTTTCTTGTTATTTTTGTTGTTTTTACTACCTGTGACAAAACCCCCAATTTATATTTGACACTTTTGTGCCACCCCTTTAATTTACTATGTTTTTACTCGTTAATGTCTTTAGCTACGACTAATTAGAGGTAACTTTTATTTTTCTATCAATTCTCAAAACCACACCCTTGGGACACGACCCCAACCTTTAGTTGAGTTATTATATTATCGACACTCGTACCGTAGGTTAGTGTCGTTGGTCATGATACGCATCAAAATGGCGCCGCTACCGGGGAGTAGTGTTATTTGGGAATTTTTAGTTTAATAGAATTCTTGTTCTTCTTAGTTGTAGTCAACTTACCTATTTTTCACTTTTGTTTTGAGTATTTGTGTACTACAACAGGCCATACAGTGCAAATAAAAATAATAGCTGCTAAGCGGGTCACTCAGCAAGTGGTGTTTTTCATCGAGACGACATCGATGATGCTAATAGTGTTTAGCACCCTACCGACGTGGGCGAGATGGGTGAAATTTGCATGCCACAAGCTGACGGAAATGTAATGTTCGAAGTTACCAGCGCAACACATCAACTCATACATTTAAGAGGTTTATTTGGAGGATTAGAGCATAAAGATCCGCACGAACATGTCCGAAGCTTTGTGGAAATGTGCACCCCTTTATCATTCAAGAACCTATCTAAAGAATCCATACGGCTTTGCTTATTTCCATTATCATTGACTGAGCCACTAAATGGTTGGTTGAGCGCCCAACCAACTCCAGCAAATCATGGGAGGAGTTGGTTATGGCATTTCACGAAAGATTCTTTCCTCCATCAAGAATGATGAAACTGAGAGATGATACTCAGAATTTCAAGCAAAAAGAGGGTGAACCAATTCTCGAGTCATGGACAAGGTTCAAGAGATCTTTGTGTAAGTTCCCAATGCATGGGCTTCCAGGTGAATTGATGCTCCAATACTTTTATCGTAGTCTAGACTCGTTTAATAAAAGGATAATTGATCAATTGGTGCAAGGAGGAATAGTGTTACAATCATTTGAAGTAGTATCATTTCTCCTAAATGGTATGACTAACGTAAACCAGGCATGGTATACCAAAGATGATCAAGTTTCCCATCTATGTTTTTGAATAACATAAGAACAGATCAAAAGAGAAAGGGAAAGGGACGAAAACATCAAAAAGATGTTATCTCAAATGGAAATCCTACAAAAACACATGAAAGGGACACGTGGAGTATTTCGAGTTGAGGAGGGTTTTTCTTCCGGTTACTCAAGACCGGAGGACTATCAAGGTTGGAACTCCAGAAGATACGAGGACGGTTCCCACCCACGCTATCAACCGTGGGTAGAGAATCAATGTTGGAACTATTATAGAGGTGAAGAACCAAGGAAATATTGGCAAGATTGAGCTGAGCAGGATGATCAAAAAGAGGACCATATTCACTTGAGTGAAAGCCTGAAATCTAAAAGGAGTGCAAGTAGTCCTCGAGTAAATGATTTGTTATCGCATACTCGATAAAGTTGAGGGGTCTGATGATTTGCTAAAAAGAATGAAAGATGACCTTTGATCATTGAACAGTAAAGTAAATTCTCATGCTAATGCCATCAAAATGTTGGAGGGTAAATTGAGTCTATTATCAGCTCAATTAACATCCAAAACACCAATGGACTAAATATAAAGAGAGTTAGCTATAGTTACCCGTAGCGGTATGGTGGCAATAGGGGATATGATGGAAGATAAGGATCCTCAAAAACTTGAAGAGAGCCAAGGTGTGGAGAAACAAGATTTACCTATTCGACTAAGCCTTACTAAAGAACCACAGGAGAAAGCAGAGCAACAAAATCAAGTTCCAAAAGTCATGCATCCTTTACCTAAGATACCTCCACCATTTCCCTAACGTTTGAAAAAGAAGAATGAAGATAAGAAGTTCAAAAAAAAATTGCCAGTATTCAAGAACTTATAATTAACATTCCTCTGGTAGAAGCATTGTTAGAAATGCCGGGATACGCCAAATTCATGAAAGAATTGGTTACAAAGAAAAGGAGCTTGGACTATGAAACGATTGAGGTGCCCCATAGTTGCAGTGCTATTATGACAAATGATTCAATCACTAAGAGAGAAGATCCTGGGGCATTCACAATCCCGTACACAATTGGCATACTCCAATCATGTGCAATTTAGGAGAAGACATCAACTTGATACCCTATGCAATATACAAGAAACTTGGATTGGGTGAACCAAAGGTAACCACAGTGAAACTCCTTATGGCTAATCGATCAATAAAGCACCAAGTGGGGATACTCTATGACATATTGGTAAAAGTGGATCGGTTCATCTTTTCGACTGATTTTGTGATTCTAGATTGTGAAATCGATGCTGAAATCCGCATTATTTTGGGAAGGCCATTCTTAGCTACCGGGAGAGCATTGGTGGATGTTGAAAGTGGGAAATTGAAATTCCATGTGAACGATGATGAGGTGACCTTCAATATCTTTAAATCCATGAAGCAACCAAGTAATATCCATGTGGTGTCTACTGAGGATGTGATAGATGAGGCAGTGGCAAGTGTGAGTCATTTAATGTGCAAGAATGAACCCCCTTGAATTTGTACTTGCCAATTATGATGAATCTAAACTTCAGGGTTACGAGGAAGTGGTAGCTGCTTTATCAGGATTAGGAGCATATTCAATGAATCCAATCAAGTTGGATATCAACCTGAAAAATAGAGAAAGCCCCCCTGCAAAGCCATCAACAGAAGAACCACCAAATCTGGAGTTAAAAGCCCTACCCTCTCATCTCAAATATGCCTTCTTAGGAGCCAATAATACTTTACTAGTAATTATCGCCACCAATCTTCTTGAAAGGCAAGTGAAATTGCTCATTGAAGTACTGTGGAAGCATATAAAAGCTATTGGATGGACAATAGCCGATATAGTAGGAATTCCTCTTGGCATTTGTACTCACAAGATTCGGCTCGATACTGAATGTAAACCTAGTGTGGAACATCAACGGAGATTGAACCCTCCAATGCAAGAGGTGGTAAAAAAAGAGATCATCAAGTTGCTAGATGTGGGAGTGATCTACCTTATTGCAAATAGTAAGTGGGTAAGTACGGTGCAATGTGTACTGAAAAAGGGAGGTATAACCGTAGTCCCAAATACAAAAGGAGAACTTGTGCCAACAAGACCAGTGACTGGGTGGAGAGTATGCATGGACTACCGAAAGCTCAAGTCATGGATCGGGAAAGACCATTTTCCAATGTCTTTTATGGATCAGATGCTTGACTGGTTATCAAAAAGAGAGTGGTATTTTTTTTTGGATGGGTACTCTGGCTACAATCAAATCTCTATTGCGCCATAAGATCAAGAGAAAACCACTTTTACTTGCCCTTATGGAACATTCACATTCAAAAGGATGTCGTTCGGGCTATGTAATCCCCCAGCAACATTTCAGTGTTGCATGCTGTCTAATTTTGCAGATATGGTCGAAGATTCTATGGAGTTGTTCATGGATGACTTCTCAGTAGTAGGGGATACGTTCGAAGAGTGCTTGACTCACTTAGGATAGGTACTCCAAAGATGCATGGAAACGAATCTGGTTCTTAATTGGGAGAAATGTCACTTTATGGTAAAAGAAGGTATTATTCTTGGGCATAAGGTAACACAAAAGGGGCTGGAAGTTGACAAGGCAAAAATTGAGGTCATTGATAAATTACCTCCGCCGATTCAGTAAAGGGTGTTCGCAGGTTCTTGGGGCATGCAGGATTTTACATAAGGTTCATTAAAGACTTCTCAAAGATTGCACTCCCATTATGCAAACTCTTAGAGAAGGAAGTGAAATTTCAGTTTAATGATGCTTGTGCGGCTGCATTTCAGTGTTTGAAAGATGAACTAATATCCACTTTGATTATCATCAGCCCCAATTGGTCCGAATATTTTGAGTTAATGTGTGATGCTAGCGGTATGGAACTGGGGGTTGTGTTGGGGTAAAAGTGCAATAAACTGTTTCACCCAATCTACTACGCAAGCAAGACTCTCAATACTGCCCCGCAAAATTATACGGTTACCGAACAAGAGTTGCTTGCAATAGTCTTTGCAATTGATAAATTAAGGGCATACTTGCTAGGCACAAAAGTAATTGTACACACTGATCATGCTGCACTCCGGTACTTGATGGCAAAGAAAGATGCAAAACCCCGATTGATTAGGTGGGTACTACTATTACAAGAATTTGATTTCGAGGCAAAAGATCAAAAAGGATGTGAAAATCAAGTCGCTGATCATTTATCAAGGATGGAAACAAGGGCGAATATTGAGCATGATGTTGACATAGACGACTATTTCCCCGATGAACGGGTGTTTGCAATGTCCCTCAAACATACACCATGCTATGCATATTTTGCAAATTACATTGTGTGTGGGCTGATGCCAAATGAGTTGACCTTTTACCAACAGAAAAATTTCTTTTTCGATGTTAAAAAGTAATTTTGGGACGATTTCGAGAGTGTGCTGACCATGTCATCAGAAGGTGTGCTCCAAAAGAAGAAGCGGTAGCAATTCTATGCTTTCCATACATCTCCAGTTGGAGGTCACCATGGTGGTGTTCGTACCGCCGCTAAAGTTCTTCAGAGTGGATACTACTGGTCGTCACTCTACAAGGATGCACATCAGTTTGCAAAGAAATGCTCTAAATGTCAGCAGCAAGGCGGAGTGTCTAGAAGACACGAATTACCTCTCACTCTTATTTTAGAGGTAAAGCTATTCGATGTATGGGGGATCGATATCATGGGCCCATTTTTGAGCTCGTTTGGAAATAAATATATCTTAGTGGCTGTAGATTATGTTTCCAAATGGGTGGAAACCATCGCACTTCCATACAACGAAGGAAAAAGTGTTGTCCAATTCCTGAAACGCCACATCTTCGCAAGATTTGGCACTCACAGAGCTATCATTAGCGATGGGGGATCCCACTTTTGCAATAGGTGGTTCTCAATGGCACTGAGTTAATATGGGGTGAAACACGAAGTGGCAACCCCATATCATTCCCAAACAAGTGGCCAAGTCGAAGTGTCGAATCGGGAAATCAAAAGCATCTTGGCAAAGACAGTAAATGTCAATAGCACTGACTGGTCTAGGAAACTCGATGATGCATTATGGGCATATCAGACTGCATACAAAACACCTATCTGGATGTCTCTATATCAGTTGGATTATGGTAAGGCTTCTCATTTGCCCATCGAATTAGAACACAACGCATTGTGGGCATTGAAAGCTTTAACTTTGGACTGGTCAAAAACTTCAAGAGAGAGAGTAGAGCAGCTAAACGAACTGGATGAATTTAGACTTAGATCATATGAAAGTTCAGTCATCTATAATGAGAAGATGAAGAAATGGCATGATGCTCGGATACTCAAGCGAGATTTGAAGGTAGGAGATTGGGTTTTGCTATACAACTCTCAACTTAGACTCTTCCCCGGAAAGCTCAAATCCAAATGGTTTAGACCGTTTAGAGTAACGCAAGTGTTCATCAATGGTGCCATAGAAGTTGAAGATCAGGAAGGACCTCCATTTACAGTGAACGGCCAACGTCTAAAATTGTATCTGGGGGATTGTTAAGAGATTTCATTGGTTGAAGTGGTATATTTGGAAGACGCCTGAAGGCGTTGCTGCATCGTGCCGCGACGTTAACTAAGGTGCTGTTTGGGAGGCAACCCAAAATCACTTTAATTACTTTATTTTTATTATTATCAATACTTCTTTCCTGATAATAAAATGGTATGTTATTTGTGTAGGTGAAAGTACGCGAAGTGTTTGAAAAAGTGAATAATGGCAAACAATAGATCCTATCGGCGAGTCACCGAAGGGGTCGGCAAATCCAACCTTATCCACCATTTGACTCAAGACATCTTCCACACTGAAGTCTATAAAACTCGACGAAATTTAGAGATTATTTGTGAATTGCCGACCAATTTGGCAATCAAGATAAAAACCGCCATTTGGATCTTCACAATGACTGAAGATTCTATAAAACTCGGCGAGTCGAGTGCTCACTCAGTGAATCGCCAAGAGGTTCGGCGATCAGAACTAATGTCACCGAGTTGGTGATAAACTAGACAATCTTTGCTAGCCAAAAGTTTAAAAGTTTCAACTTCATTCATTTTCCCGCATTATTTACCCAAAATTACACTTGCACTCTATTTTCAATATCCCTACACTTTTAGAGTATTTTAGTCAATCGATCTATACGCGGAGTAGGATTTCATTTCTTCCTATCATCTCAATAACCATCTAAGAAGCGCAAAAGCCTCACTTTGATTGCCTACACTGTGATATCTTGTTCTCCAATGCATTGAGCGGAGTTAATATGTGAGGGCTACATACCTTTGGAGCAGCTCATGATTTGGATGAGATGAGTAAGGCTAACCTCATAGCAACAACTGAAGATGAGAACCAGAGTCAGGAGGGGGACCCACCGGGCACTGATGCCCAGACACATGAAGCGACGGCTTAGTCAGGATCACCTCCTTACCTCTCTCTCTGCCTTCCTTAAATTATCATGTTGGATATCTTGTCATGTGCATTTGAGGACAAATATTTTTTTATTTGTGGTGGGCTGTGACCCACCTTTTGTGTGTTATATGATCTTCATATATTTGGGTTGTTCTATTTTAAATTGTGTTAAATACTGCTTTTCTGTGTATGTTTGAGCTTGAGGCTTCTTTTATTTTTAATTATAAAATGATTTTGACCCTTCCAAAAAATCTTGAATTTTTCACACATTTTTGCAACCCCTCGTGAGTTGAATGTGGCTGTTCTTTTGCAAAAATTTGAGTCTCAGTTTCGATCAATACCGATGACTTTAATAGTGCTCTCAATTGAACAAACATGAATGTACGGCTACGACGAGGGCAAATGAAGTTGCATAAACAATATGTGAACTCTTTGCATCTCGTTGTGATTACCCATTTATCGAATTGATTCTCTTGTAATAATCATTGCACACTAGCGAAAGTTTGTAGTCTTGTTTGACTTAAGTGTTGATGCCTTGTGTGATTAGCTTGCTTTGAACCATGCATGAATAAACCTAGAATTTGCCTCATTAGTCTGATTGATTTAGAAAGGCGTCCTCTTGAGACGATCTTAGGAAACTTTAAAGAGTGTGAGCCAAATTTAACGTATACCTCTTCTGTGGCCTACCCGTGAGCGTGTGAAACTCTCTTGAACACCCTTTGAGCCTTACCTTTCTTTGGAAGAACCTTGATGAACCCTAGACCTTACTTGACCCACTACCTATAATCCTCTTGATTTGTGGTTTAGCGACTAGCCAATTTATTCCAAAAGCGTAAGTTGGGAGTGTGATGAAAAGGAAAAGGAAAAGTCAAGAAGTGCAAGAAAAGTCCCCCTTAACCCATGGTGTTGCAGAACAATGGAAACCCTTCAACAAAAAAAAATGTGTGGAATAAAGTACAAAGGAAATCGGGTTTCCAAGCAATTCATGGAGGTGAATAAAAAGATGACTTAGAAGCACTAGAAAAAGAATTGATAAAGGAAAAGAAGGGAATGCCTTGAGAATACCACATCTCACGAGGAAAAAGTCATTGAGCCTAAATTACCATACCTTTGCACTCATCCCCATTACAAGCCTTAGAAAGACCTTTTTGATATTGAGTGAGCTGGACCGAAGATCAATCGGAAAATAAGGGCAAGCCTATGGGTGAAATCATGCATTGTGTTCCTCTTTTTGAGTGCGAGCATTGCATTTGATTCCTGATCTTGAATTGATTAACCTCTGTGTGTGAATATGGAATCATTCTTTATGTGAGGGCATTTAGATACCTTTTTTTTTAGCTTGAACTTACACAAGTAGCAAGTATTGGGAGCATGAGAATCTTTGGAAATAGTGTGTCACAACTTAAATCTTTGAGTACACATTTGATCCTTGCATAAGTAAATTAAGTCTTGTTGCGTGCATTCATGATTGAGTCTTGTGTAGCATTGTTTGAGACACCCTTATTGAATGGCTGAACTAAAGTTTTCTTGAGGACAAGAAAAATTTTAAGTTGGGGGTGTTGATTAGTCCACAAATTGGACTCATTTAGGGCTTCAGTTTGATAGAAATAGTGTCCTCAAATGCTTATTTTGTCTCAATATCTCATGAAAACTCTAAAGCTTCACGTATTTGAAGTTTTAGTGGACGCATGGATACTTAGGCGCAAAAAGGAACATAAAGGCTGAAAAGAACAAAGAAGTTGAAGCCTGAGCATCGCCAAGCACACTTGGTAATTCGTTGAAGGGACGCACTCCGCCCTTTGTTCCAATATGTGAAGCCCTGAAGGAGAAGGATCAAAAAGACAATGAAAAGAGCAGTCGGTGGTTCGTCGAATATTTCCGTGAAGCAGTACTATACCACCAAATGGTCCAGAACGTGAAGATGCTGAAGGCAAGCACGAAACGGCGATGAGACAGAAGAAGGGCGAGTCGCTGAGTTATTCGATGGCCTCGACTAACCTAACCGAGCAATCTGCCAACACTAATTTCTAAAGTCTACAAATACTAAGCTCTTTATTAATTTTAGGGGAGTCGAACCATTATTATAATTTTCACAATAGAATAGTACTTTTTTGGATATTTTCTCTCAAGTTTTGAGAGGAATTTCTTGGGAGACTTGAAGAAAGAAGGATGTCATCTTCCCCAAGTTGGAAGTGGGTCTTCTCCATTCTTCTTCCTTTTCTTAAATCAAGGTTTAATTCCTTATACCCATTTTATTTTAGTAGCATTTTAGGTGTATTTTGTTATTTCTTGATGTGTGGCTAAAAACCCACATTCATGGGGTGTGATTTAGCAAATATGTGTTGATATTGTTGTTGGGTCTTGCTTGTTGATAGGTTAGATGTATTTTAATGGTGATTTCACCTAGTGGTTGTGGTTTAATTTAATGTTCTTGTAGTTTCAAATACAAAACCACCTATGTGTTTTGGGCTTGCCCGAGAGGGAGGTCACGAAACCAAGATCGCTAGACTGATGGCCTAAGGAGTGGGTCGACATGAGGTTCAGCCCGAGAGGGTGAGCCCTAGTCCCATATCCTAACACTCAGCTCAAGAGAGTGAGTGGGGTAAGGCTTAGGCTGTCCTTCATGCGGCAAATGGGTGTCCGACAGGAACGCATTTGAAACGGGGTAAGTTGCCTGAGAGGGAACTTATTTCCATCTAAAGCTTAGCATAGTTACTATTATTTTGCAAACTTCCTATCGAAAGCATGTACCTAACGATTTATCTAAACTTGAATTTCTGTCACACCCCAAGGACTTTTCCCCATACTTGATATTCTTGTTATATTTGTTGTTTTTACTACTTGTGACAATAACCCCCAATTGATATTTGACACTTTTGTGTCACCCCCTTTAATTTACTATGTTTTTACTTGTTAATGTCATTAGCTACGACTAATTAGAGCTAACTTTTATTTTTCTATCAATTCTCAAAACAACTCACTTGGGACACGTCCCCAACCTTTAGTTTGGTTACTATATTATCAATAATCGTAGACACTCGTACCATAGGTTAGTGTCGTTGGTCACAAGAAGCATCAATACACAAATTTAGTCTTTTTTATTATAAAGGGTCATAAGTATACTTTAGTTTTCATGTCATTGTTTAGATGGCCATGTGAGACTTAGAGTTCCGTTGTGTCTTTCAAATGATTTTTATGAGTATTTTGGATTGTTTGGATTTAAATAAGTTTTTAAATTCCGCACTATTTCTATGTATCGAATATTATGAATGCTAAGAGGCTTGTATAAGACCCCTTTCGGGTTCAAGTACACTGGTCACATATAGGGGGTGTTCTCAGGGAGTGACAAACTTGGTATCAGAGTATAAGATTTTGGAAATAGTTTTTAGGATTGATGTCTCACAAGCCACGTCTAGTAGAGTCTTGTTCATCGGTGTGAGTCGCGACACATCTATGAGCGAGAGGCTATAGGACGTTAGAAAGTTACACTTCTTTCATATTCTTGAAGTTGTGCCTTAGAGTTTAGCTCTATAAGTATCCTTTTTCCTAATCCTTCTCTTGTGTTTATAGGATATGAATACAAGGGCTAACCCAAGAAGGATGGAAGAGGAGATTGTGAATGAGGGAGTTCTTCCCCAAGGTCTTCAAGGTGACCAAGTTCCTCTAGGCAATCAAGGAAATCAAGTTTCGGTGGATCCTCCGGCTATGACCAATGAGGAAGTTAGGTCAGCTCTTTTGATTATGGATCAAGCCATTACTACTCAAGCTCAAGCTATGACTGCCCAAGCTACTAGGGGTGTTGAGGCTAATGTGAACCCTAATCTAAGTACTATGGCTTCTAGGTTGAGAGACTTTATGAGGATGAATCCTCCGGTATTTCTTGGATCTAAGGTGGGAGAGAATCCCAAGAGTTCTTGGATGAGGTGTATAAGGTAGTTAATGCTATGGGGGTGACTTCTATTGAGAAAGTGGAACTTGCTGCCTAACAATTGAAGGATGTAGTCCAAATTTGGTTCACTCAATGGAAGGCCAATAGGCCGGTTGGAGCGGGTCCCATTGAATGGGAGTTGTTTAAGGAAGCATTCCTTGGTAATTTTTTCCTCCGT